GATAATTGCGAAATGACCACCGAAACCACCGGAAACTTGCACGACAGCTTGTTCAAGCCTAAGTTAGACTTTAGAACAAACGGACCTCAATGGAATCTTGTTATAGAATAATAGAAGAAAATTGTAAAACACAATACTTAAAAGCCGTTGGGCTGAAATTGCAAAGCCACCGAAAAACACTGAAACTTGGCACGGAAGTTTGTCAGCCTAAATAGACTTTGTAAGAACAAACAGACCTCGATTGGATTTCGGTTAAAAAATTAGAAGGAAAAATGTAAAAACACAAGACTTAAAAGCCCGTTTCGGGCTAATTTCGAAATGACTACCGAAACCACCGAAACTTGCACCGACACTGGTTCAAGCCTAAGTAGATGTTAGGAACAAACGGACCTCAATTGATCTCCGAGAAAATAGAAGGAATTATGGTAAAACACAAGACTTAAAAGCCCTTCGGGCTGAATTGCGAAATGACCACTGAAACCACTAAACTTGGCACGACAGCTGTTTAGCCTAAAAAGACTGTTAGAACAACGGGACCTCGATGATTTCCGATTAAAAAATAGAAGAGAAAATGTAAAACACAAGACTTAAAAGGCCCGTTCGGAGGAAATGCAAAAATGACACTGAAACCACCGAAACTTGGCACGGACAGCTTGTTTAAGCCTAAATAGACTGTAGGAACAAACTAGGACTCATTGGATTTCCAGTTAAAAATTAGAAGGAAAATGTAAAACACAAGACTTAAAAGGCCCTGTTCGGGGCTGAAATTTCAAAATAACCACCAAACTTGCATTGATAGTCTTTCAAGCCTAAATACATTGTAGGAACAAACAGGCCTCTATGTGATCTCCGTTAGAAAATTAGAAGGAAAATTGCAATGCACAAGACTTAAAAGGCTCGTTCAGGAGTCGAAATTGCGAAATGACAACCGAAACCACCAAAACTTGCACGACAGCTTCTTCAACCTAATAGACTTGTAGGAACAAATGGACCTCGATTGGTATTTTCGTTAGAAAATTAGAAGAAAAATGTTAAAACATAAGACTTAAAAGGCCGTTCAAGGGCCAAAATTACAAAATTACCACTGAAACCACTGAAACTTGGCACGGGTAGCTTGTTCAAGCCTAAATAGATTGTATAGCAAACAGCACCCGATTGGGCTTCCCGTTACAAAATTAAAATCAAAAATTGTGAATTCATATCGAGTTTTTTTTTTTTTTTGGTCAATCTAATATTGTTTTTCTCTTTTTCGTATGACAGATTGGCAATTGGAATAGTTTAGTTGCATCAGAAGATTTGATTTTGTGTTTTGGAAATATTTTGACATAGGATTTTAGTAAATATTTATATAGGATTAAAGTTAGCATCAAAATATTGGTTTGTGTTTTTGCAAATATTTACATAGAATTTAGAAATGACTGTTGCTTAGATGTTTAACATCAAAAAATTTGATTGTAATTTTGAAAATATTCTGACATAAGATTTGGTAATATATTATGGAGTTGATGTTAGTAGTTTGTAAATACTTTTATGATGTTTAGATTTCAGAGAATTAATTATGTTTTGGGATTTTCATAGCTATTAATTTTGAATTAGTATGAATGTCGTTGCACAGCTGTATTATTATTTACATTACATTTGTGTATATATTTGCACAGAAAAACTGTGTTTTGATTATTTTAACAGAAATTATTTAAAATCAAAATTTTGTACTGAATTTTTTATGACAGTGTATTTTTGTCCCTGTTAATATATTGCGACAATATTAATTTGGTCGCTAAAAATCACGTTTTTAGGCGAGAGTAAGTTACTTAGTTGCTAAAAGTCTGTTCCTGGAATAACCACTAACTTTTAGCGACAAAAACAATATGTTGTCGCCAAATATATTAACAACGACAAAAACACCACCTGTTACTAAAAATTCACTACACAAATTTTGATTTTAATAATTTTCCTGTTCAAAATAATCCAAAACACATGTTTTTCTGTGCACAATATATACACAAATGTAATGTAAATAATTATACACCTGTGCAAGACATTCATACTAATTCAAAATTAATAGCTATGAAAAATCCCAATAAACATAATTACAATTCTCTGACAATCTAAAACATCCATACCAAAGTATTTACAAACTACTAACATCAAACCCATAAATACATTACCAAATCTTATGTCAGAATATTTTCAAAATTACAATCAAATATTTTGATGTTAAACATCTAAGCAACAAGTCATTTACTAAAATTCTATGTCAAAATATTTGCAAAAACACAACACCAAATATTTTGATGCTAAACATTTAATCCATAAATCATTTACTAAAATCCTATGTCAAAATATTTCCAAAAACACAAAATCAAATCTTCTGATGCAACCCAAACTATTTTCCACCATTGCCAATCTGTCATACGAAAAACTAAAAAACAATATTAGATTGACCAAAAAAAAAAAAAACCTCGATATGAACTTCACAATTTTGATTTTAATTTTGTAACGGGAAGCCCAATCGGGTGCTGTTTGCTTATACAACTCTATTTAGGCTTGAACAAGCTACCCGTGCCAAGTTTCAGTGGTTTCAGTGGTAATTTTGTAATTTTGGCCCTTGAACGGGCCTTTTAAGTCTTATGTTTTACATTTTTTCTTCTAATTTTCTAACCGAAAATCCAATCGAGGTCCCATTTGTTCCTACAAGTCTATTTAGGTTTGAAGAAGCTGTCCGTGCCAAGTTTTGGTGGTTTCGGTTGTCATTTCGCAATTTCGACTCCTGAACGAGCCTTTTAAGTCTTGTGCATTGCAATTTTCCTTCTAATTTTCTAACCGGAGATCCAATAGAGGCCCTGTTTGTTCCTACAAGTCTATTTAGGCTTGAAAAGGCTATCCATGCCAAGTTTTGGTGGTTATTTTGAAATTTCAGCCCCCGAACGGGCCTTTTAAGTCTTGTGTTTTACATTTTTCCTTCTAATTTTTTAACTGGAAATCCAATCGAGGTCCCGTTTGTTCCTACAAGTCTATTTAGGCTTAAACAAGCTGTCCGTGCCAAGTTTCGGTGGTTTCAGTGGTCATTTTGCAATTTCAGCCCCCGAACGGGCCTTTTAAGTCTTGTGTTTTACATTTTTCCTTCTAATTTTTTAATCGGAAATCCAATCGAGGTCCCCGTTTGTTCCTACAAGTCTATTTAGGCTTAAACAAGCTGTCCGTGCCAAGTTTCAGTGGTTTCAGTGGTCATTTCGCAATTTCAGCCCCCGAACGGGCCTTTTAAGTCTTGTGTTTTACAATTTTCCTTCTAATTTTCTAACCGGAGATCCAATTGAGGTCCCGTTTGTTCCTTCAAGTCTATTTAGGCTTGAACAAGCTGCCTGTGCAAAGTTTCGGTGGTTTCAGTGGTCATTTTGCAATTTCAGCCCCCAAACGGGCCTTTTAAGTCTTGTGTTCTACAATTTTCCTTCTAATTTTCTAACCGGAGATCCAATAGAGGTCCGTTTGTTCCTACAAGTCTATTTAGGCTTCAAAAGGTTGTCCGTGCCAAGTTTTGGTGGTTTCGGTGGTCATTTCGAAATTTCAGCCCCCGAACGGGCCTTTTAAGTCTTGTGTTTTACATTTTTCCTTCTAATTTTTTAACCGGAAATCCAATCGAGGTCTCGTTTGTTCCTACAAGTCTATTTAGGCTTGAACAAGCTGTCCGTGCCAAGTTTCAGTGTTTTCGGTGGTCATTTCGCAATTTCAGCCCCAAACGGGCCTTTTAAGTATTGTGTTTTACAATTTTCCTTCTAATTTTCTAACCAGAGATCCAATTGAGGTCCCGTTTGTTCCTACAAGTCTACTTAGGCTTGAACAAGCTGTCCGTGCCAAGTTTCGGTGGTTTCGGTGGTCATTTCGCAATTTCAGCCCCCAAATGGGCCTTTTAAGTCTTTTGTTTTACAATTTTCCTTCTAATTTTCTAACCGGAGATCCAATTGAGGTCCCGTTTGTTCCTACAAGTCTACTTAGGCTTGAACAAGCTGTCCGTGCCAAGTTTTGGTGGTTTCGGTAGTCATTTCGAAATTTCGGCCCCCAAACGGGCCTTTTAAGTGTTGTGTTTTACATTTTTCCTCCTAATTTTTTAACCGAAAATCCAATCGAGGTCCTATTTGTTTCTACAAGTCTATCTAGGCTTGAAAAATCAGTCCATGCCAAGTTTTGGTGGTTCCGGTGGTCATTTCGCAATTTCGGCCCTCGAACGGGCCTTTTAAGTCTTATGTTTTACAATTTTCCTTTTAATTTTCTAACCGAAAATCCAATCGAGGTCCCGTTTGTTCCTACATGTCTATTTAGGCTTGAGCAAGCTGTCCGTGCCAAGTTTCGGTGGTCATTTCACAATTTCGTTCCCCGAACGGGCCTTTTAAGTCTTGTGTTTTACAATTTTCCTTCTAATTTTCTAACTGGAGATCCAATAGAGGTCCCGTTTTTTCCTACAAGTCTATTTAGGCTTGAACAAGCTGTCCGCGCCAAGTTTCGATGGTTTCGGTGGTCATTTCACAATTTCAGCCCCCTAACGGGCCTTTTAAGTCTTGTGTTTTACAATTTTCCTTATAATTTTCTAACCGGAGATCTAATCGAGGTCCCGTTTGTTCAACATAACCAGACATATTAAATGAAATGCTTGTAGTGATTTAAAAAGTAAATTATGAAAAATATACTTACAAAAGTGTTTGTCAATAAGATTCTTCTAATGAATAATCATTTTCATCAACCTACATGCCTGCTTGATCCTTGGTCATCCTCGTAAACTTCTCAATCTCTTCAAATCTTTTATTTTGCATTTCAATCATTTTAGCTTGCTCTTGTGCTACCAGGTTCTGGGCTGTAATTTGTTCTTTCCAAAAATCTTGATTGACAGCTGCTCCTGAGTTAAAGGTATTGCCCTAGGCTCTAAAGACTCTTCATGTCGCTTTTTCAAAGCTTCCTATCAATTTGTAAACAACTTCAACAAATACCATCATTTACATAAATATGTAACTCTATTAATTGGCATACTTACATTAGTGTCTAGTTTCCAGAAAAAGGGTACTACACACATATGAAGAGTCAATTAACATAGCTTGACTGCATCAAATCAAGGGTGCAGATATGTGAAACTGGAGATAAATATAAACACCCCACAACCAAAAATAACCACTAACAAGATAGAAGAAATATTTGACAAATAAGTATCGTATTTGTGAACATGTGAGACATTAATGGCCAAGCCTTCATGTACTGTCCACTCTCCCTGGCAAGCATCACGTGCAATACTCACGAGAGATAGCATAACTTGACAAAAATAATAAAACTATAGAAAAAAATAACTCTTACCGTAGGAGCTGCCTCTAATGCTCCATCAGCAGTTGAAAAAGTAACATGCTTCACTCCATTTGCCTTCATAAATTTAGGACCCAGTTGTGCACAAGAATGAACTACAAACTTAATCCCAACTAAACTTCTTAATTGAACTTATAAATAAAAAATATTTAGAAAGAAATAATACAACAGAAAATGATAGGACAAAGTGAAACGCAACATACAAAAGTGAAACCAGTGGCAACTCTCAGAGGTTTTTTAAAAGCACGAGTTCAGTTTCTTCAACATATTTATGCCACAGAATGCAAAACCACCCAACGCATTCCACAAAAAGAAATGACTAGAGCCCTAATTTCGGAAGGAGTTCGCGTCATCGTGGAGTTTCTTCATCAAAAATGTAGGTCAGAGGTGAAATCAGAACTCCGCTACCTCCAATCTGCATTAGACAATACAGTTAAGCAAAAAAGTTCCAGAAAGTCAATATGAGAGTCCCAAAAACTTCAAAAGGCCAAAGAAGAAATGGAACCAAAAATTAAGAGGAACCAGATAAAATCCATATGAGGCTGCAAATAAAACAGGAAACATGTTTTCCTATAGGAGAAATGAAACAGAAAAAAATTGAAGATGAGGCTGCAAATCATGAAATGTACACTTCAACGCAAAAAAGATGGAACAGTGTTTTCCTATATTCAAATTCTAAAATAGTCACACACACCCAAAAAAAATAAATAAATAAAAAACATTAAACAAGCCTCAAATCAGATTCAACCAAAACCAACCAATTTTCTGGCATTATTTACACGAAACATGTTTTTCCTTAGGGACAAGCTGGCAACCAGTGGAACTGGTTGGCCCATTGTGCCAGAAATTCTATAGTGGTTCTTAGTCAAATTTTGATGTCCTCATCAGAGCCAGAAAGTTTTCGTGTTCTATATGTAATATGATATTTGACATGGCAAGTAATTACACAAAGTTGGTCCTATAAATGTGAGCTAGTGGGAAGTTAGACATGATACAAAATTAAATTACAGCATTATTTGCACAAAGTGGCAGCTCTCATTCTCTACCCCAAATAAGACTAAACCCTAAACTTTGTGGTCTTTCTCTAACTCTCTGCGTGTCGTGGGTGGATGGGTGGGAACTTGGGAAGGAATAGTTTCTATTGTTATAATTAATGGCATATATTGAGTAAAGAAAGAAAAAGTGTCTCACTGCTCTCAGCTGTTGGACAGACTTGTAAAGCAACTTTTTGGGCACACATATGACTATGGCATAGTAATCTGCTGCTACTCTCCCATCACGTTTGCAAAAAATAGGACTTATAGTTGGCCCCTGCATATATAAACATGAAAAGCATTTAAGGCAGCTCTTGGAACTGAGAAGAACTCAACATTTAATCAATAATTCAAAAATATCAAAGTATCTCCAGTGAGTGCTTCCACAATACACGCCATTTAGAATTAACTTGTACTAGGATAAAACAACATATATGGTTTGGTTTTCACATTTCTTTGAGAGAAAGAGAGATTGATTCACCTGCAAGCCCAATAATGATGTTTGGCTCAGTATTCACTCCGCCACCTCCTCTTGACTGCTTCCCCTCATGTTTGCAGTAACCTAACATAAATAGCATGAGACAATGAAATTATAGGCAACTACAACCATAACATAAAAAATAAATTATGCACACCGTGAACTGTCCAATTGCCCTCAAATGTGCCTCCAATCTTTCAAGAATTTCATGTGTGATGTCTAATACACCTTTCCGTTGGGTCAAGGACTTCTTGCTAGCAACAAGGACAGCCTGAAGACAACAGAAGATAAAGTAGAGAGACTTTCAAATTAATACTTGAAGACCCTCTTTAAAATAAATTATCAAAGACCGTTTGGCATGCTTGGTTAAGTCCAAAGAGAGTGCACCTGACTTTGCAATATAACTCCACCTTCAATTTCTTTTAAATTGTTCTCTCTCAATGTGGTTCCACTACTCACAAGGTCCACAATAGCTTCAACTATTCCCATCTTTTTCAACAACAAAGCAAGCAGCTAATATTAATACCATTGGGAACTAGCATATATAATGCAATTTATATTAAATGAGTTGCATTAGGAGGCATGAACTATGCAATGCCAAATAAATAAGTTAACTTTATAGATACTAAGCAACCAATTTCAAAAAGAAAAATGCTATAAACAATGAGCTAGAAAAAATGAAATGTTCTGAATTTTACCTATTCAAAACAGCATCCAGAACAAAAAGGAAGCTGATGTTTATAGCAAGTCAAGCATGGTAAACTTTTCTAAAAATTTCATTTATTAAAGATTTAGTGATCTGATCACTGAAAAACAAAAAAAAGAATGTAAACAGAAGTAACAAAACGAAGGCACAATTGCCAGCCAAAATTCTAAAATGTCACGACAATAAATCAAAAAGCAAAATTCAGTTAGTTCATTACATTCATAGCCAATGGCAACAATAAATCAAAAAACAGGTAAGAAGCTAATTGAGATCTTGAAAATGAAACACATATATACATGTACCAACTCCTCTATATGTATACATATATATAGTATAACTTCAAAATGATATTGAAACATGCAGGGAATTCGGGTTCAAATTTTTGCTTCACTGGTTTAATTAGAAAATAGGTCAAATTTTTACCCAACCCCCCCCCCCAAAAAAAAAAAAAAAATCATAAGAAGAAGAAAGAGGGTATTTTTACATAGTTATATTGTAAACTTCAATTATTTGACATGCTTCTACCTAGGTGAATGTCCAACCACAAGTGTCACATACATATCTCATACCCTTACATTAGTGTCTAGTTTCCAGAAAAAGGGTACCACACACATATGAAGAGTCAATTAACATAGCTTGACTGCATCAAATCAAGGGTGCAGATATGTGAAACTGGAGATAAATATAAACACCCCATAACCAAAAATAACCACTAACAAGATAGAAGAAATATTTGACAAATAAGTATAGTATTTGTGAACATGCGAGACATTAATGGCCAAGCCTTCATGTACTGTCCACTCTCCCTGGCAAGCATCACGTGCAATACTCACGAGAGATAGCATAACTAGCATAGCTTGGCAACTCTCAGAGGTTTCTCGGGTGTCCATTGAGGCATTTGCGCTAGCTCCTTCATTGAGTTTACATTCTCAAAAATCCCATATTTGGGTATCTGACAAAAAGAAAATATGTATTATACCCACAACCGTACAACCACGTGACAATCAGCGTACCACTGTATTGTGTTAAAGGAGAACAATGACTTACTGCCAAGGATAAACGGCAGTCTCCAAACTCAAGTGCATCATGAACAAGAACTAGATCTTCATTCCCCTATGAAAAGTAATTCACATGACAATTTTCAATTGTTAATATTTTCCCACAAAATCAAACTAAATGAAAACAAGTGCACAAAAAAATTAGCAGTGCCAAGATGAATGCAACATTAACAGTAAGGATGGTATCTTTTTTCTTTTTTGATAATCAAATTTATTTGAGAAAAACAATGCATCAAGAGGGAGATGCCATCTTTATATGTCACAAGTGTACGAAGCCAAAAGCAAAAGGAATTTTTCATATCACTGATTAGAGAAGATTACTGAAGCGTATGTTAAATGAACAAAACTTCTAAGTCATAGTAGGAAACTTGCTCAACAGGTATCAAACGTGAGCATACAATCAACTATTCACTTCTCACAATTGTGACTTCTCCCTTATGTGAATAAAAAAACTCATTTGTACAATTCATACCTGCCTATATTCACTAACTGTATCAAGACCCACAATACCAAGGTCTAGATCCCCTGATACTAATTTTCGTACAATGTCTTTTGGCCGCTGAAACCAAACTTCCAGGTTTGAGAGCTGCAACAACCATTAAAAAAAGTCATGCAGCTACATAAGACATAAACTTAAGCATAACTGTAAATACTAAAATGTAGAGCATGAAGAGGTCAAAAACAATGCATAAACTAAGTGGCAGAAAACAAGATTTTTGTTTAGAGAAAAAATACACTACCCCATATATATGTTCCATATTTCAATAGTGTCTAACACATGGTTTTATTGATCAAATTCATTGAACCAATGGATGAATACAAGAGAGAGAAAATGTATTCACTCACACACTCATAGTTTTCAGTGAAGATGGGAAGGATGACAACAAATGCTGAAAATGGACAAAGTACCATCTAGAAGAAAGCTTACACAGCATAACATTGTGAAACATGCAATGTATAATAGTATTTATGTAAGCAAGTGCATTGGCTTGCAGAGTTCACATCTGCTAACTCGCAGATGAGATTGAAATTTTGCCTCTGTAGCCCATATTAACAGACAAAGTACATCTCTTGATAACACATTCTTAAATAACATAAAATTATTTAGGGCAATTACAAGCAGAATAACAAAAACCAATAACCTTCTCCAAATAGCCTAATATATTCTTTGGAAATGAAAAATGATCAATCATCAACCTGAACTTTTAGCAAGATGGGTTGGGTCTAGGTTTCTTTGACACCAATATACATTTTTTAGAAGGGCTCAAACCCACCCCAACATCTTTGTTTATGTGACTTCTACTGCTATGTCACTCTACTGAAAAATGGCATGTTGGACCCTTAAGGACACAATAAGCTATTTGTGCTATTGAACGAATTGCAGTTTTTCCATTTATGTTAGTCAGTATTGTAGCTACAGCTTAGTTAGAGTTGCACCCAAAATGTGTGCCAAAACATACAGGAATATAGGTAGCTAATAATATACATACAAACATAACCTTCATAAAAATAACAAATATCACTTTGGACTAGTCATCATATTAAACTCTCCCCCAACAATTCCCATACGCAATGGTCAAGAAATCCTGCTCATTACTGCTTTTCCAATAAATAGTAAAATAATATGTACAGATTTATGAAAATGTACTAAAGAATAAAAGAACGAACCTGTAGGAGTTTTGAAACTTCAAATAATTAAGTCCTATCCTCCTACACATTCAGATTCAGAGCCTGAAACTATTATACCCTCCTAAACCAGATGATCCATACCCAAAATTATAATATCAGTCCTTAAAAAATACAAAACCAGTTCCAAAATCAGTCCGAAATTCAGAATATACTAGTCCAGAAAATCAGTTCCAAAATTAGTCCAAAAATTAGAATATATCAGTCCGAAAATCACAATATCAGTCTGAAAATCACAATATCAGTCCGAAAAATCAGATTGATGACAAAGAAGAAAAAGCGGAAGATGAGAGAGTGTGAGGGAAAAATCAGTCTTATTGATTGTGTTGTGTTCTGCAATGCCGAACAAGAGAATGAAATTGATGATAAAGAAGAAAGAGAGGAAGAAGAGACAGTGTGAGAGAGAGAGTGAGAGGGAGAAGGAGAGGGAGAGGGAGAGGGAAAGAGAGACGAAGAAGAGGGAGAGAAGACATACCTCTTTCTCTTCTGTGCCGCTCCAGGTTGTGGAATGAGAAGACGAAGAAGACACATTTTAGGTCAATCTTGTTTATTCGGTCATTAAAAAAAAAAAAAGACAAATTCAAAACGACGTCGTTTTGACAAGAAATTTATTGGCGACGAAAATTATTATGTTGCCATAAATATCATTCACCATTCAGTGACTAGTTTAATTTCGTCGCCAAAAAGTCCCAAATTGGCGACAAACAGTTTCGTCGCCATATATTAATTTCATAGCCAAAACTTTTTTAGCGCTCCCGCACGACAAATTAAATTGGCGCCAACCATTTTTCGTGACGAATTGAGATATTTGTTGCTAATGGTGTATTTTTTGGCGACCAACACGTATATTGTCGCCAAAAACATACAATTGGCAACTAAATTCAATTTGGTTGCTAAAAAACGTCGCCAAAAATGCTTTTTGTTGTAGTGTATATTCAGACTTGGGTTTGCATTCCCTGCTATTCCATAATGCACTATTCCCTCCACTTCAAATAAACTCACCAATAGCTGTGTTATTATCCCTGCATTTATCTTTAATATATATATACACACACACATGCCAAATTATTTATAAAAAATAAAAATAAAAAAAGAACATAAATGTTAAGTGTACAGAACTGGAACACAGAAAAATGCATGGAAAGTGAATTTTATGATCTTGATTCACTTTAGGCGTGGCTCACGCAATAGGATGAATTTGAATCTTAAAGTGGACTTTGAACTTACTTTTTGTGCTCTAATTTGTGTATAAAGAACTCTCAAAAGAGAAGTAAAAAACTTCGTCCCATGCCAAGTCCAGTCATGACCAATATGACATCTTTTTCATCAATTTTTCCGAGTCGAAATCTCCTTCCTTTTTTTGAAAAAAAAAAATGAAACATGAAATGCAAAGTAAGTGAGAAAAGGTAATTTAAGCTAGAGAAAAATGGAGTGATCTAGGAAATTTTTTTATTTTCAAGGGAACACTTACCTTGAAAATCTATGGTAAGGTTGAAAGATGTGAAGCTTGGAGATTGAAGAAGAGGGTTCATCTCAAATGGGTTTGGAGTAACCAACCCTAGATAAGGGCCATTCTTGTTAGCCTCACTTATCATTTTTTGAGTCTCCATTTAAAACTCCATTTGTTTCTTGCAGGGTGCTGAGTGTGATGATGAGGGCATAAACAAATACAAAAATAAATTTTAGCAGCTGATGTTTCCATCACTGAGAGAGAGAGAGAGAGAGAGAGAGTTTAGCGTTGAGAATTGAGGAGCTTACGAAGCAACATTTATTAGTAGAAGAGATCATACAAGTAAATAGCGATATGTTCATGTGAAATGCGTGCCTTATTCAGTAGTTAGTAAGGCCTCGTTTGGAAATTATCTGTTTTAGTTTAAAAGTTAAAAAATTACTAAAAAAATTAAAAAATTATTCCAAATATACTAATTTTTTTATCTCATATTTTAACCAAAAACTTAAAAAATTACTAAAATAACTCGTTCCCAAATGAGGCCTATGTTGGTGTTTGATAATTCATTC